AGGGTGGACCGACGTCATATTGAACCCTATGGATTAGGAATGGGAAGTCACTTACAGTAAGTTCATATGCGAGGAAAGGCAGGAGAGCAAGTACTTTTGGCAATATAGTGTATGTAATCCCCCAAAAACCTTTGTTTAAAAAAAAAAAAGAACTAGAATCCAAATTACAGCATCCCAGTAGATGGATATCCTATATTTGCCTCAATGCATCCTGCAAAAGGGAGCCCACCAACCACCCAGCCCCTATATATCAAAGCAACTCCCAGTAGCTTTCTTAAGATTGACCGATGTGTTTTACCAGGGGTCAGTGAACAACCCGCTCATGTCATTTGAAAGGGAGAGGCTGCTGAAAACCTTATTTTATTTCCTCTGCAGAGATTTTTCCCTTCTGCACTTGACGGCACAAAGAAAGGGCCACCATGCCAACTGTTGTGGTCATGGATGTGTCCCTCTCCATGACCCGGCCGGTCTCCATCGAAGGCTCCGAAGAATATCAGCGGAAGCATTTAGCGGCCCATGGTCTGACCATGCTTTTTGAGCACATGGCTACCAACTACAAATTGGAGTTTACCGCCTTGATTGTGTTTTCATCTCTCTGGGAGCTGATGGTCCCCTTCACAAGAGACTACAACACTCTCCAGGTGCAGTAGAAAAGCAGCCATCCCAGCTTATATTCAGTTGTCAGATGCTATATGTGTAAATTCAGACCATGTTTTTGTTCCTCTTTGCTGCTCTGGTGGATGGGCAGCTGTGTAAATTTGTTTTCTTAATAATAAAGTATAAGAACTGCCTTCATCACATTACATCAGCCCATCCCACCTGGTCAGGCAAGGGAGGTATGTTGCAGAGCCCATCAGCAAAATAATTTTGAATGGTGGGTTCCAGGAAAAGAGCCTTCTCTGCCATTGCCCCCACCTTGTGGAACTTTCCCTTAAGGTGTAAAAAGCGAGCTCTGTGTCCATGCTTGTGTTCTGACCTAGGCTTCCCAAAAGCACGAAGCCGACTCCTCGTCCCGATAAAACCCCTTTTATTCAGGTGAAAGGGAATTCCTCTCCAACAAAGTCCCAGCAAACAGTCTTTCAAGAGATTTCACAACTACAGAGCTTTATCAGGCTTGGAGAGCGGCCAGGCCGATATCTTCCAAACTCCACGCTATAGCAGCAATTACTTGGCAAGAGGTCAGGAACAGATCCTCACCCTAATGAACTGAACTAATTGTTTCCTGCAAACTTCCCTCCCCTTTATCTCCTCTTTATTCCTTATGGGAGGAGCCATTCATCATCCACCTGTGGCTTTACTCCAGAGCCGACCCTTGGTTCTTAGCTGTTTCCTTTTCCTGGCAGCCCTGTGCATGCGCACATCAGGAACAGGCTCCAGCTGTTCTTCTGCCTCACTGATCTACGACTCCGAAGGCAGCTGATAACTGTCAGATGGCCCTGGCCCCCTCTCTGCTCTGCCTCTCTGAGCCCTCATCAGAGCCTTCCCCAGGTTCCTCCTCAACCTCCTCACTGTCCGAATCTGCCGCCAGCTCCAATGGCCACTGGGGGGGCCACAACAGCTTGGGACATACAGATAGGAATGCAGCCCTATGGTTGATTGGTGGCCTGAAAGATTAGGGCACTAACCGCAGCCTTGTAATCAATTCTTAACATTCCATGCTTCTTTTAAATCTTACATATTCTTTTTTATGCTTTTAATCTTTTATTGTATGCTGCAGAGAGCCCCCCACTCGCAACAGGCAGTTCTTGACTCACAACTGTTTGTTTAGTGACCGAAACTGCAACAGTACTGAAAAAAGTGACTTACAATCTGTTTCTCTATTAACATTTTTATTGAGCTATAAAGTAGTATAAAATACAAAGTAAATAGAAAAGCAGGGGGGAGGGAAAAGAGAAGGGAGGAAAGATAAGAAAGGGGGGGGGAAGTAGCATTGACTTCCGACTCTCTCTCTGTTACAGTAAAATAAGGCATTAAGATCAAATCGCAACTTTTTGCTTTTTCGTAATAATATGAAGAAGCCATTTCTATAAAGATTTTCTGATTTTGGTTATTACCGATTGGGCTGATGGATCTGTATAGAAATGGCTTCTTCATATTATTATGAAAAGTGACTTAACCTCTGTGATCATGTGATCACCTTTTGCAACCTGACAAGAAAGTCAATGAGGAAGGCAGATTCACTCAACGCCCATGTTGCTTAGAACTGTAGTGATTCACTTAACAACGGTGGCCAGAAATCAGGCTGTAAAAATCAGGCAAAACCCGCGTAACCACTGTTTCGCTCAGCAACAGTAAAATTTTGAGTTCAATTGTGGCTGTAAGTTGAAGACTACCTGTCAACACGCTAGATAAATAAGTAAATTATTGTGCATTCTGACCTACAACTGATAAGTGTTTTTCTTTTTTTTAAAATCAGCTTAAATTAACCACGTGAATTTGGAAATCGAGTGTGAAGCCCCTCCTGCTTTAATGATTCTCATCCAGTAACTACCGTGTTTCCCCGAAAATAAGGCAGGGTGTTACTTTCTTTTGACCCCCGAAATAAGCACTTGGCCTTATTTTTGGGGAGATCTTATTATTTTTGAGGCGCAGGAAGTGGTGGCAAGCCTGGTCACCTCATGGCTGCTGCTGTGTTGCAGTATTTTCGGGGAGGGCTTATATTGGCGCATGCGCGCAAAAGCCCAATTGTGCTTATTATCTGGGGAGGTCTTATTTTCGGGAAAACAGGGAAATTCGGGGTAGAGTTGGGGCGACTGGATGGAGCTGAGCGTTTGCTAGCCGGATCCCAATCCTGATGCCATGTGGAGTTTGCAGCAGACTTTTTTTTTATTTGCACCCAGGGAGAGAGAAGCACCTGACACTACCTAGGATTGAACTCAACCTTCTGAACGGGAGGTGATTAGCGTCACTGCTAGGCCACCACAACGCTTTGTTTAAGCCCAGCCCAATAAGTGTCCCCTTTGTTTCCCCAGGAAGCCTTGAGTAACATAGACGACTACGACAAAACCTGCTTGGAGTCGGCCCTGCTGGGCGTTTGCAGCATCGTGCAGCAGGAGTGGGGCGCTGCCATCCCTTGCCAGGTTGTCCTGGTCACCGACGGCAGCTTGGGCATTGGGAGGGGCTCCCTCCGCCACTCCCTGTCCACGCTCAGCCAGCGGAGTGAAAGCAACCAGTTCCCGCTGCCTTTCCCGTTTCCATCCAAGCTTTACGTCATGTGCATGGCGAACCTCGAAGAGGTGAGTGCCCTTTGAGGGCCAGGAGGGGATACAATTAGGCCAGTCCTCGGTTTGCATTGGCCTCAATGGTGATTTGGAAGGAAACCAGGGGTTTTTGGGTGAACTGCGCCCCGCTCTTATCAGGCACATGGAGTGATAAAGCCGAAAGAGAAGTTAAATTGGGGTGAGGCAGGGGAAGGGAGGGAAGATCTGGTGGGCTATGCAGAGGTAGGTAACATAGGACTAGGATGGCAAACCTATGGCATGCGTGACACAGGTGGCATGCAGAGCCCTCTCTGCAAGCACGCCAGTTGCCGCCCCAGCCCAGCTCCACCACACATGCACGCACACCTCCCATTGGCCGGCTGGTCTTTAGGTCTCTGCCATGCATGCGCGAGGAGTGAGCCCCATGCGCCGGACACATGCATTACATTTTTGGGACCTCGCACAGTGTCCCCGTGTCTCGTTTTGGCTTCCAGGTTGGTGCAGGAGGCTTTCCAGGCCCAAAACGGGGGGCAGATGCAAGCCCCCCATGTGCCCCGTTTTGAGCCTGGAAAGCCTCCTGCACCAACCTGGAAGCTGAAAATGGGTGAGGGGAGGGGCACATGCGCTGGGGGGTGGGGGTGCAAGGGAGGATTGCATGTGCATTGCATTATGTATGTGGGCACGCACATGCGCTGTCACATGTGCATGTGTTTTGGTAGACGGCGACAAAAAGGTTAGCCATAGGAGATCTGTTACAAGTGTTGGAAGAAATATCCATTGGGTTCAATTCCAAGCCAGGAATAAGGCACTGGAGACGAAATGGTGGCTGATTGGAAAGATGGTTTAATGGTGAACAGAACCACCAAGCACGTGTGATTCTGGTGCCGCTGACCACACGGAGTCGAGAGTGAGGGGTTCTTTATATTTTCTCTTGGGCCTTGCCCTTGAGCTTCCTGTTCCTGTTCTATTGGCTGTTTTCAGGCTCCCATAGGGTCATGTAGGGGTTATGTAGCTAGCTTGTATAGGTTGTCTGAGTTCCCAGGTTTGGTTGAGGTTTCTGAGGGTGATGCAATCAAGGGGTGTTGGGCAATTCCTATTGTGGCTGTGTTGGATCTTGGGTGGGGGTATTGAATTATGAATAGCACTGTCTATCTCTATCTCTTCTTAAGTGCTGGCATCTGCTAAGGGCTATTAAGGAAGGTGGGGGGCCGCTTTCTGTCTCCAAGAGCATATGTCTCCCTTTAGGGAAAAAGAATATTCCGCCTCTTTAATATTTCCTGAAATATTTCATTCTTCTGGGAGACGGGTGTGTGCTAACTTACAATTTATCAATTCAGAATTGTAATAAGCCTGAATTTGAGGTATGTGAGTTCAGCAATCTTTTGCTCAATTTTAACACTTTTTAAAACACAAATGTAACACTATTTTAAATTTCTTTTCCCCAAAAAATGGCTAGTTTATGATCTGCAATTTCCCGGGAGCCTGAAAGGTTATTTCTCTGCTATTATTTTGCCCTTGTTCCCTCCTCAAACCTGTGTCCATTAATTAGTTTGGGCAAAGTTTGGCCTGTTTGTCGTGCCAGTGAAATGGTCAGAGGCTAACGCATCCTCTAAATGCAAGGACACCGAGATACACACAGAGCTGAGCGGACAAATCAATAGCTATGTTTTCTTTGCTGATTATTGCAAGTTCCCTCCTGAGATTAAAAAAACAACAACAGTCTTTTGAAATATTTTTTCCATTGTCTGTAAAACTGTGTTTCCTTTCCATTTGAAGCTCCAGAGCTCCGATTCTCTAGACCACCTTGAACGGCTCATTGACTTAAATAATGGAGAGGGGCAGATTTTTACCATCGATGGGCCCCTTTGCTTGAAAAACGTACAGTCGATGTTTGGGTAAGCAATCGCGGTTCAGAATTAATTGGGTGAAACTGCCTTCAGTTATAGTCTGGGTTTCATCACGTTCCTTTGCGGGGGGGGGGGGATTTAATTTAAATCAAGCCTATTTAAAACATGATTTAAATCACTAGCAAAAAAGGCTTGATTTAAATCAACTCGATTTAAATCACAATTTTTAAAGAGCAACTGTCGTCTCTGTCCCGCTGCGGCTCCTCCTCTGACTCGCTATTGGCTCACCCACAGTCCCATTCACTTTCACGGGATGGCAGGTGATGCAGCAGTGACACCACAAGGTGAGAGACATGGTGAGTGGATGCCCACTAACGGGCGCTGCCATGATGGATCTGAAATGGCAGGTTCTCTTTAAATGCAAGGACTCATTCTTGCTGGTAGTTAGAATCTTTAATATTGTTATTTGCAAACAAAATGAAGGTTTCCTATTTAGCGTGGATGTCATCTCAGCTGGCAGAGCTTGGATTCATTGAATGAGTTTACCCAAAATATAAATATTGCAGAATATACAGCCTCATGCTACATAACCAAGCTCCATTTCATGCCGAATAAACTAAATTATTAATGTATCTCAAATAGAAAACTATCTTTAGATAGATTTTTACTCCAAAAGCATTTTATTACAATACATTTGATAAAAATAAAAAAAAATCTGATTTAAATTAAAAAATCCAATTTAAATTAAAAAAAACTCTGATTCTTTTGATATATTTTTTTAAAATCTTCAATTTTTTATCCACCCTGGTTCCTTCAATCTGGTGCCCTCTAGATCTGGGTTTCTCAACCTTGACAACTTTATGACATGTGGACTTCAACTCCCAGGATTCCAGCATAGCTGGCTGGGGAATTCTGGGAGTTGAAGTCCACACGTCTTAAAGTCGCCAAAGTTGACAAATATGATTCTAGATGCATGCAGCTTCAACTTCTTGAACCCTAGAACAGGGGTCCCCAAACTTGGCAACTTTATGACATGTGGACTTCAATTCCCAGGATTCCAGGATAGCTGGCTGGAGAATTCTGGGTGTTGAAGTCCACAAGTCTTAAAGTTGCCAAGTTTGATGACCTCTGCCCTAGACATATCTGGAAGATGTCAGATTGGCAAAAGCTGGTCTACATGATGCAATGGAATACTGTGAAGCCACCCACTTACAAATAAGGTTTACAAATCCTGAACTTTTAGGTTGGATGTTCCATCTTATTCTCTGAAGGGGTTTAGCAGACTGCATGAAAAGAAAGGAAATTTGAGTGTTTTGCTCATGTAAGCCGTTGAGCCAAGAAAGCATTGAATTAGTAGCAGATAGCGACTAAATATTATGGCCTATTCCAGTGTTGGCAAACCTTTTTGGCACCAAGTGCCAAAATGGGAGTGCGCACACAGGGGAGCAACAGTAACCGGAAGAACAGCTCCATGGCGTGCATGGGTGGAAGCGCTAGAAACCGGAAAAGCAGTTCCTGGCGCACATGCAAAACAGGTCTTCCGGTTTCTGATACACATGTGTGCCAAGACCAGCTGGCTGGGATGCACACGCGAGGGACTACTCTTCCGGTTTCTGGCCAGCGCGCATGTGTGCGCTGGAACCCGCAAGAGCAACAGGCAATGGCTGGCATTCCCAGAGAGATGGTTCTACGTGCCATCACAGGCCTATTCTATATATAATACTAAGCTACAATAGGATCACTTGGCTTTTCACATGAAATTGTGTGCTGATGTTTTTTAAAAAAACACTTGTTTTGTTTGTGTAGCCAGATATTGTTTTTTGTTTTTTTTGTTTTTTGTTTATTGGATTTATATGCAGCCCTTCTCCCAAGGACTCAGAGTGGCGTACAACATAAAAAAAAAACATATTACAAAAGTTAAAAAAAATTTAGAGTATCCAAAAAACAAACCCAATTAAGATTAACAATAACATTTTAAAAAATTTGATTAAAATTAACAATAACCAATCATTCATTTTATTTTGTTCAGGCCAGGCTGGCTTGTTGGAAAAGCCAACTTTTTAGGGCGCGTCGGAAGGACCGAAGGTCAGGGATTAGCTCCGGGGGCAGCTCATTCCAGAGGGAAGGCGCTCCCACAGATAAGACCCCCTGGGGGTCGCTAGCCGACACCTTGAGGAGGCCAACTCTGTGAGATCGCATTGGACAGTGGGAGGCTACCGGTGGCAGTAGGTGGTCTCGCAGGTATCCTGGGCCTAAACCATGGAGCGCTTTAAAAAGTTGG